CATGTGGCCCTAATGACTGATACACACAGAACATGTGGCCCTAATGACTGATACACACAGAGCATGTGGCCCTAATGACTGATACACACAGAGCATGTGGCCCTAATGACTGATACACACAGAGCATGTGGCCCTAATGACTGATAGACAGAGCGTACAGCCCTATTGACTGAAACACGTGAAACATATGGCCCTATTGACTTATACTCACAGAGCATACGGTCCTAATGACTGATACACACAGAGTGCACAGCCCTAATGGCTAATACCCACACAGACTTGATTCCAAAGGATAATTAATTTTCCCTTTAATTTCTGACTGATAGAGAACAATTGTCCTATTGGTTTACAGGTTTCCCTTACACTAGGACTAAGGGTCTGACTCGTTCTACTGACCTGCTGGGCTTCGTCAGTGCTCCGTTGGGCCTCTCGGCGCCGCTCCTCCTGGTCCCGCTCCAAAGTCTTACAACGACCTTTCCACTGCCGCACGGCCTCCTGGGCCCGTGTCCTAAGCTCCTCCCTCCTCCGCTCTCCCTGGGCCAGCTCCGCCTCTGCCTCAGCTAGACTCCGGCCCACACGGGCTCGCTCCGCCTCTGCCTCAGCCAGGCTCCGGCCCACACGGGCCTGCTCTGCCTCCGAGCGCACCTCCAGCTCCTTCAGCTGGCTCAGCATCTGCAGCTGCTGCTGTTCCCGCCGCTCCAAATCAGAGGAGAGTGTCTGCAGAGAACATCAGAAATACCATACGCACACTCTCAGACCTATCACATGACACACACTCAAACCCAACAACATCAGACATGCCCATTTTTAGGAATAGCCAGGATCACACCATCCCGGGTTAGGAATGGCTGAGATCACACTCTCCCGGGTTAGGAATGGCNGGGTTAGGAATGGCTGAGATCACACTCTCCCGGGTTAGGAATGGCCGGGATCACACTCTCCCGGGTTAGGAATGGCTGAGATCACACTCTCCTGGGTTAGGTATGGCCAGGATCACACGCATCTGGGTTAGGAATGACTGGGATCACACTCTCCCAGTCTAGGAACAGCCAGTATTACACTCTTCCGGGGCACTACCCAAAGCTACCATTAAGCCTCCAGTCCAGGGAAAATTATTCCCAACATAACAGAGATCTATGTAACACCTAAAACCGTCTGCTTCATGTGTATTATGACGCCTTTTCATTCTATTAAATGTTATTGTAGCTCCTAGGCAAAAAAAAATGGATCTAAATTTCCTATTACCCATTTCTGCAAAGTCGCGTTGAGCATGAGGCATAAATATAGCCAGAAGCTAGAAACATACGCATCTATTAACTTTTACCTTGTTTTTTAAAGGCTGGAATGCAAGGCACACTTGGATATTATGACAGTATCCAGAGGCGGTGTTCTTCTGAAGTGACCTGAGTCCAGGGGTGTTATTAATTAATACCAGGCCTTCACAGAGGGACTGGCAAGGGGGGAGTGGGTCATGTGACCTGAGAGGCATGTCACAGGTGTAGGTGCATGCCCCCAGACACATAAAAGGCACACACCAACACAGATCATGAGCTCCTAGGCCTGAGACCGTCACTGCATGCAAATTTAATCTTCATACATGCAGGTGTGCTGGTCTCACACTCACCGGCACACACACGCAAAGGGCAGGATCTCTCTCACACACACACACACACACACACACACACACACACACAGAGCACAGCTTCACCTCCACACGCACAGACAGCTGGGCCCGCTCCCTCTCCTTGCGCTCCACAGTCCTCCTTAGCTCTTCTACTTCTCTCAGGGGTCCACCACCGGCCAGCTGCCTACGGAGCTCCTGCACCTCATGCTCCACTGTCGGGGGGGGGGGGGTTAGGGTTAGGTTGGGGCGACAACAGTGCCATGTCTGGTCAAGTCAGGAGCACCCGTGACTGTGGTGTATGACATAACTGAGAGTCACGCGGTGCCGTGACATCGTCACGTGGGCCCAGAAGGTCGTGATTACAGCAGAAATCCATCCAAAGACCACATTAAGCCCATTCTGTTTGTCAGCAGACGCTGTCCTACATAGGAAAAAGAAAACGTCATATAACTGGATCCTGCAGGAAGCAGGATGGGGTGCTGACAGGACCCAAGCAAAGAGAGGGGATCATCTACCTCATCCAGAACCACAGCTGCACATCACAGCTTCCCTCAAAGGTTCTGGTTCAGACTGAAGGAAAGTGTACTTTGATAAAATGCTCACAGGATGGGAAAGTGTGAAATTGCACACTCCAGGAGAAGACTAATTATATCACTCATGAAAATCTCTCTCTTTGTTATAGCTTCCTTTTATAGTAAAAACAAACACAAACATATTACGTGATCATATTTCTAGCAAAATTCAATTTTGTGGTAAGCAGGAATGTTTTCAGGAAAGAGCAGGTCTTTAGAGGTATTTGTTCCGGTTGAATGTCAGGTGTGTCCAGGTGAGTGCTGTTCTGTAGGGATGTGTTCGGGTGAGCGGCGGTCTACAGGGGCGTGTTCGGGTGAGCGGCAGTCTACAGGGGCGCGTTCGGGTGAGCGGCGGTCTACAGGGGCGCGTTCGGGTGAGCGGCGGTCTACAGGGGCGCGTTCGGGTGAGTGCCGGTCTACAGGGGCGCGTTCGGGTGAGCGCCGGTCTACAGGGGCGCGTTCGGGTGAGCGCCGGTCTACAGGGGCGTTTCAGTAAGCACCAGTCTACAGGAGCGTGTTCAGCCGAATGCTGAACTGCAGGGGATTGTTCAGGCGAGAGGTGGTGCACATAGCTGTGTTAAGTAGGCACTCATATGCACAGGAGACTCACATAAGCCCCGGGAGAGATCTCCGCCATCAGTGGTGCTCCGTTGCTCAGCGAGGAGCCGCGACGTCTGCAGCTGCACCTCCATGCTCTGCTTCTCGGTCCGTGCTAGCTGGAGACGCAGCTCCTCTACCTGACACACACACACACACACACACACACAGGGCTGGTGTTAAACCCCTCTCACCATCCAGTTCTTTCCACGTTCTCAAAGCCTAGGAAGATACTCCAAGCTAATAAAGTGAGTGATACTGTCACAGAGGTCCCAGGGCTTGAGAGCAGATGGCTGGCTTTACCGTACACCCCACAAATCCCTATCTATCTCAGCCTTTAAAAAGCTGGAGTCACCCTAAGCCTAGGATTCCTTCCCCCCCCCCCCAATGCGCTGGAAGCATCCCCACCCCTCGGAGGAATCGGCAGATGGAGGTGCGGCAGTGCCGCGGGTGGGTGGCGTGCTCCGGGACCCCCTGCAGCGGCCTGCCGGCAATGCCCCCGGCACAGGACGTTACAGAGGGGAGTGTTCAGCGGCGGAGGGATGCTAACCATGCTAGCCATTTAGCATGAGGTTGGATTTCATTCCCATGGAAATCCAGCATGACCCATCAGAGAAACCGTGCACTGCAATATTTCATGTGTCTTTACATTAATTTGGCACTCGCAACGTTCGCAGACACACCAAGGAAATTTTAATAGGATTTTTTTTGTTAATGAAACATAGCTGGTGTGCTTCATAGATTATGCTGATTTACACTGGCTGCTGTATACCTCTAATACGTTCATTTTCATTTAAATTAGCCTAGGCCCGTAGCTTCATAGCGAGAAGTGTCACAGTGAAATGACTCGCATCCTTCTTCCATGGCCAGCTGCATTTCCCAGCATCGGGAAATGTAAACGGGGCGTTGTTTAATTAACGGCTTTTTGCCGATGATGAGAGTCTGTATAGGCAGGTAAGATATCCAAACATGGAGAAATACTCATATGTACCAGGACCTCAGATTATAACCTACAGAGTTCCTCTTCACCTGTCAGTCCCGGGGAGCTACGAGGTTGTAACACATCATTTAATAGCCTGATTAATTGTAGGTAATTGCAGCGGAAGATGGATAAAACAGATGGACAGGCTTACTGGAACACTGAAATTTACCTGATAACAGGCCAACAGCTAGGAATAAATTGGGGGGGTGTTTGTAGCTTTCCCTAGGTAGATTTCACCAAACAGGGGAGATGCCCCCAACAAAGATTTTGCCAGCTTAAGGAGGGTCCCCCTCAGAGCGGAAGGGAATTTCAAGGGGAGTTCAGACAGACTTGTAACTTTACAAAATGGCTACATGCCTGATCAGCACCAGACTTTAGGGGGAAGTTTAAACCCATTTTACTATACGGCTATATGCCTGCCTGGTAAGCTAATTTAAGGGAAACACTCCAGTGTATGGGGCCTGCCACTGTTTGGCCAGCCCTGGGTTTGGCCTACCTGAAGGAGCAGAGCATCCTGGCTGCCTTCCGACTTGTCCAGCTGCCTTCTGGCCCTCTCCAGCTCCAGCTCCACCTGTCAGGCACACAGCATCAGGCCGGCATGTCCGTCATGGGGGCAGAGCCGCCACAACGCCCTATCCCTGACCTCCCGGCAACCCCATCAGCTACTTGGTTTAGGGGCAAGAGAGAGCTGTGAGAGTGCCCCCATGTGTTTCGTCGTGTACCACCTTCCGTTCCATTTAAAAGCTGAGAATATCGCTGGGGCGGGCACTTAAAATTTACTGATCTACCTGGCAAAACAGGAGTACATGTCTGTGTGCGTGTTCATATACATAAAAAGACGACCAACGCGAGCCCCATACTGAGAGGGAAACTTCTAGATCGATAGCCGTCTCGTCCGATATCACACTGGGAGTACGATAAAATGAACACGCCACAGGAATGGAAGGAAGACCCGCTGTTCAAGGTTGAGTAGCGCTCTGGCTTGATGTTACACTCCTCTGGAGGAGACAAAGAGGAGATCAGAGAAAGAGAACATGGTCCAAGCTGATAAAAGTCTGTCATCCATATCCGCGGGTTCTGCATCTACGGAATCAACCAAACACGGATCTAAAATATTCTGGGGGAAAAAATTCTAGAAAGTTCCAGAAAGCAAAGCATCCTACATACTACATATGGTCAACACGAGCTCTCGTTATGAAACAGGAGTCATTCTGATTATGGGAAAGTTATGCAGCGCTCCCATCTCACTCTTGAGGAAGGTAATTCAGCAAAATTGCTTTAATAAGAATATTCGCCAGTTTAAATGAGAAAAATTGCAGAATTAATAGTATGAAAAAAACCACCAAAAAAAAATTATGCTGCAGAACCCATCCTCATTATTCAGACCCTTGTTAAGTATAACAAAAACATGACAAAAAGATTTTATTCTCGCTCTGATAAACAGAGAATAAGTTAAACTGTAACACAACTCAGAAAACAGCCATACACTTTATTTAATTAGCAGATCGTTGGGTGGAAAGCGGAGATGGCAGAATCGGAACTGTTCCTGTAATCAGTACTTTATACTGCACCTTAGAGCTTTGATCCCACTAACGACACGGCCGCTGTAGTGTTTTATCGGGCCGCTCCCCAAGGCTCTATGAACAGCGCCCAGAGGAGAATCACTGCAGCTTCACCCACTCCCTCTTATCTGCTGTGCTCACACCCTCTTACAGTTTTGATTTCAATACGATTTCTCTGTGAATTACAATGAACGCTGGGTATCCGTTAAGGTGCAGTGGGCGGATTCCACCCAGCAATCACAGAGTTTGCGATTGAATCACGGCGTTTTGGGCCACAGTCTTTGGATCATCGTTCCCTTGATTCTAATAAGGGCAGGTGTCAGCGTCACGCCGGTCAGCATGTCCATAAATCTCAGACTTTCACGCAGCAGCCATCACAGCCAAACAGTTATTTGATGAAGGATTCAGAAAGATCCATAATATCCCTTGACGTTTCCGCCTCAAATGCCTCATTCACATATTGAGGGCTCCGAGGCATCACATCTGGATATAGATCTGAGCTTCTCTCCTCATAGCTTGTGTTCACAATAATCTACTCCATTTTCTTTCTGTCAATAAAGCTTCTCTCAGTAGCCTTGGAATGTTGCACAGAACACCAGTATGCTCTCTCTCTTTTAATAGCACCCTGACCATTAAATTGATTATGCCTCTCTGCAGAACTGCAATACCTCCTTGTCCTTAAGTGTGTTGGCACATATATCCAGAGGATTTTTTAAATGAACGTTACATTCCTTAACATGAAAACCAGGACCCAGTTAAGGTTTCTGGAAGGTTGCAGGAGCTGAACATAAATCAATAGAAGACAGAGGACTGATAATTGCTTTGCTTTCCAGTGGATATTAAACCGTTTTCATGTCAGTAAATACCACTATGTGCAGTGGTAAGTGTTGATCTTTTATGAGAGTAGTAGCAGTATTGCACTTTTGTTGTAGATATGGGGGAAACTATGTAAACCACTTTAGCTCAAAAGAACATAACATGCACTGAATGTTTGACGTGTGTGTAATGTTTGAAAGCCTGGAATTGCCCTGAGAAGCCCCCCCTTTCGTAAAAAACAGTAATACATGTCTATCAATACCGGTCCGCACTTCAGTATTACTGAGAGACTTTCCATCATGGGACACAATTCATTACTATGCCCATGTTAACGAGGGATTATTCTTCTCCCAGGAGAAAAATGACTTAAAACTGGCATATGTGAATGAAGGCTCCATAGGCAGTAGATGAAGCCAGCAGTGATATTACAGCAGAAACCCCATTAATTCAGGAAGTTATTTTGTCCATGTAGTCATGACTGATCTACACGTTTATCTTATCTCGTATTCATCCTCATGTTGCCTAAAAGTGAGAATTAGTTTATTGGGTTGCTTCTTCGTAATTTGGACCCTTTAGAAATGTTTAATCATCAGACAAAGCTATTTTTCAGTTTATTTTCCATTTATATATGGATAAATAACAATATCCACTGGGTTTATTTGTCATACTTTGGCTGAATTATGAAACCGTTTGTTCTTAATGATTTTCTGTTTTGAGTGCATTATTTTTAGTTATCGTATCTGCCAGCAGATCTGGAGCTTCTGCGCTCGCTGGCGCCCGAAGCAGGATTGCAGGCGGCGTGCCCCTCCCCGCGTCTCTCATCTCATTTCCACACCTCTGACTTCCTCCCATGCGTTTGTCACGCGTTTGTTTTTTTTTTTTTAAATAACTGCACAAAGTCGTGCGCTGGCTTGTTTCTCTTTGTCTCCTACATGCTTCCCCGCCTCAGCGCTACCAGGACGCGCACACTGCCGAGTTAAATACCACCCCCCCTGGTGCTGCCCCCGTTTTACTCCTGGCTTCCTCTAGGGGGCGCACCCGGGCGTTCGGACATGTTTCTACCTTGCTTCGCTCACGTTCCGATTTCAGCAGTCGATTCTTCATGGCCTCCTCCTCCTCTTTCTCTCTCTTCTTCAGCACCTGCCATCAGATCCGGACAGCTGTGAATCCTCACTCAGGATAGATACTCACTCCTTTCACTACAGCCGTCACTGATGAGCTGGCGATGTGCAAATTTACTGTTTACTTCCATACACCTTCTGTTGCTGACCCACATATAAAAATCCTCTGAAAACAGAATTCAGGTCTGAAATGGAGGCTGAAAGGGGTGTTTGCTGCTATTTCGACGGCAAGGTGACGGGTGGAAACTAAGCATAAATCAGAAACTTGTCCGGTAGAGGAACTGGGCTGGGCGAGACACCGGTCAGTATCACAGCTGCTGCCAATACCCAGAAAGCTCCCAGTCTCAGGAAGAAGCCCCGCCCCCCTCCCACCTAGCTGAAGGGACGTTAAAGCCACCCGCCATCCCGCATATCTCACCGTCGCCCCACGATGGACACGGAGCTGGGAGATAGAAGGGCAGCCCTGAAAGGGGCAGGGAGGTGGCACACGGGCGCCGGGACGTGGCTAGAGGACGCTTTGCCGCAGCACTCCCTGCACTTTGTCTCCTCATTAGTGCAGTTCAAATATTACAAATGCAAATTTGTCACCATTTATCTTTAACGGCAGCAGGGGATGAGGAACCCGCCACCAAATTATATGTGGGAACACTGCCCCCTTGTGGTATGACACTCGACTACGGAAAATCTCTCTGAAGCTGAACCTATTACACAAATAACGTTCATCAGCCCCAAAGAAATGTATGTACTGTCAGCTTTTTACAAATGCGGCTCTCTGTCCATATGGCACTGTAACTGGAGAAAATGAGAGGCCGCAGGTGCATAGCGACATTAATACTGTACGGGCAGGCCAGGTGTGCAGGTATTACAGGGCAGGACTCGACTGTACAGTCTACGGTGGGGGAGGCACACCTCCTGCAGCTCAGGTGACACCTTCCCCCGGGGCTCTGGACGCCTCTCCAGCGCCTGCCGGCTCGAGCGCATCTCCCTCTCCATCTCCAGCAGGCGCTGCTCCACCCGCGATGACACCTAGAGGAGGTTGTGATAAAAGCAAGGCACCATGAAAATGAGCACAGGGAAACCGGCGCTCCACAACCCATACGTAGCAAGACGTGCCTTCAATATAATAATCACCATCACTATTAGGGGCATTAATACCATGAGTATTGGTATGAGGAAGAGAAAAAAATACATATGTGTATGTGTATATATATATACACATACACACACACATGCATATTCCAATACATTTAGTATTTAAGTTATTAATTATTAATAAAAACAAGTTCAGCTTTTATCCTGTCGGGGTCTCAGCCACTGGTGGATCATCTGGATCAGGATCTTGTATAATTAATTAAATTTGCTCCATAAATTAAACAATTTCCTTCACATATTTATTTTATACCTCTGAAAATGAGAGTATGTGAATAACAAAGCGGCTTCACTGAATAAGCAGAGCCCAGGGAGGACGCCCAGGGTGCAGGGCAGCTCACCCCGAGTTCAGGTCCCCGAGCGAGGCAAGTGCCACACAGGCACCGTGACAGATCACCGCCCACGGCCCTGCTCACACTCACCGATTCGTCCCTCTGAGAGGTACGCAGCTGGTCAGACAGAGCTTCTAGAGTCTTCCTGGTCTCCAGATCAGACCTTTGAGAATTGTGCTTGTTTTATTAATGAATTAAACGTAATGTCAGGAAGAGCACCATATGTAAATGCATCCCATAAGTAACTATACAGAAAAGCTATTATACCCTTTAAAGCAGTGTTTCCCAATCTGGTCCTGAAGGACCTACAGACATAACATTTTTTTTCTCCCTCCCAGCTCCCAGTGGAGAGCAAAAATGTGAAATGTCTGGCAGGGAGCACAGAGGGAGCAAAAACATGGACTGGCTGTGAGCCCCCAAGTACTGGATTGGGAACCGCTGCTTTAAAGCGTACCGCTGGGGCGGGGCAGTGAGGACATGGCCCCGCCCCCCAGAGCCTTACCTGTTCCGCTGCAAGATCTCCCTGTCCACATCCTCCCCGAGCTGCATCTGGTCGCTCCGCAGGTCCCTGAGAGACTGGTGCAGGCTGTGGATCTGGAAGGGATGGGAGATAAGTCCACTAGCACCAGAGAAAATGTCAAGACAACAGGTAGCCATTTAGAAAAGCTAAGCTTAGACTATAAGGCTGCAGAGGGGCCCGCAGTTGTACCCTCGAGAGAATTGTGCAGAGCCTCAATAAAATTTAAAACTGCAGATATTCAGAGCAGGAATCCCCGTGCCATACGGGCAAAGACAGTGGTTATGCAACTAAATGAGTAGGATTAAATTAATCCATCGTGATAAACACCAGTCTAATTCCAGACCCAAACCGCTCACACCATCATCCAATGTGTATCAAAAATCAGGAGAGCCAGTGATCAAATAGCAGGTTGATTGTTACTAACTGGCCTGACGTGATGAGCATGTCAGGAGCCACAAACACAATGGTACAGCGGTAAGCGTCTGGGAAGAGGCTCGGTACAATTATCTTACTGGGCTACAAGGCTGAGACCCTTAGCCAGCTATCATTGACGCCTTTATCTACCCACCCTGTTCAGTCAAAGGGGCAACAATGCAGTGTTGTGGCGGCCAGCATAGAGAGCCGACCCTAACATGTTAGAGCCTGGTCTGGATGAACCGGACCGCAACCAGAGTCCCCATGTGCAGCGTACTGAAGCCGAGGCAGCCACACAGCCAGGAACTGACACTCACATCCTGATGCCCGGGGTCCCTGAATCGCACGGAGGCTGACCGGGACCGTCTCCTGGCCGCGGACTCCGGACCACCATGGTGCCTCAGTGGGGAGGTTGGGAGGTAGCGATGACCTTCTGCGTGAGCACAAGCAAACGCTAACTGCTACATACCTCCTGACCGATGGCTTGAAATGCAATTAATCATTTCTATTAACCACTGATGAGCAGATATCCCCTTAAGAGCAGTTCTGTCAAACAGAATGCATGTATTCAGCATTCAGCATTCTTAGGCACACCACTCCTCAGCACTCTTGCTAGAAAACAGGAAATCTGTCCCACCAAACTTCAGCGCCACACAGCCAAACGCCAGGGAAAATAACTGTAAATAACCAAAAAAAAACCTCTTCAGAAATAATACGCTTTCTAGCACAACACTAGACAGAACAAGCAAGGGCTTTAAGGGTCCTTTTTCAAGGATCATTCCAAGTTTCAGAAGCACCATTAGCTTCAAATCCATCCACCGCCCAATGTACGTCAAAGTGCAATATCAGAATATTATACGCCAGTATATGGTCTTTTACATTCATTCTGTGGTTCTATTTTGGGTCAGTCACAATGTAATTCTTTAACAGTTCTATATATTTATTCAGGCTACACGTTTTAGCTCTTTGCTTTGAATATCGTGCAAGATCTCAGCTTGCAGCCCTAGACTGCAGCCCTGGACTCATTTTATTAAAACATTTATATAAAAAAAACAACTATACACTGTCAGACCTTGACAAACCCTCAAACTAAAATCTCCCAGGACAGAAAGAGGAGTAAGTGGGCTTTATGTACACATTTTTGCCTTAAAGTCAATGCACTCTGATGACATCAAACCCCAGATACCATTCATCACTGACTGCTCTCATTTGCTGTTGATTAGTTTGTATCATTTAGCTATTAAAATATCACACTTTTATTATACACAAATGACTTACCAATTAAGTATGCCGAATAAACATCGGATTCTGACCTGCACAAATTTTAAAAATGATAATACAAATAGACTATTGTTTCTATAGCAACAAGAATCTTAAATAAACTTAGCTGTGCTTGGTCTCGCTGCACTGAAGCCCTTGCTTAAGGTAAACAGCAGTGCACGTTTCCATCACAGCCATGAAAACAATGCGTGTCTTTTAGAGAGCTGGCACGAAACGCACTGGCTGGTTAAGAAAACAGTGCTTAAGCATCACACGAAGGCAACACAAAGTAAACTGCTGCCCAGCATGCATGAAATGGGCTGAAATTAAGGTTGAGCACCTTGGGGTACTGTCTGGATTATGGAAGGAGAACAGTGCACAACTCCTACACTAAGAAACTGCAGGATCCTGGCCAAGATACCATTAACGCAATGTCTGTGAAAGTAAAAGCGCTGCTTGCATCATTTTAGTCCTAAATAATACATACATTTTCATTCTCCAAAAACTTTCGACACAGACCATCACAGCGTGTCTTTAGTGATGTCCATGGATGACATTTTCCCCAAAGACAGAGTTTGGCTCCAAGGGATCACATAATACTGACTGTGTGACACGCCTTGTGATTAACAAAAGGGGGTTTCTTTGGCTGACTTGGTGGGGGGAAAGGGTGGCCATGTACTCACATGTAGAACCCTCCCCCCCCCCAAACCTCAGAGACAGAGGAGTCCCATCACACCCATGGAAAATCTGTTTTCTCACATGATGATTTCCTCTGAAGCGACTTTATGTTTTCACTCACTAATACTGATGGGTATATTCAGACTGGGTAATCACTTTACAGACAGTACAGTGTTCACAAATCTGACACCTTAACTCCTGCATTCTGGCATTCTTTTTTCCTTGGGTCTCAGGAGGATATGATGTGGACGCACTGCTTACATAGCATCACATGATCACATGGCTCCACCCCCCTGACCACACCCCCTTACCTGAGCTGTACCCTGCCTCCAAGTCGCTGGTGTGGATTGTGGATGGGGAGGGGCTGTGGGCGGTGGCCGCCCCCCGTGACCGCTGGCTCCGTAGCTGCTGGATGGAGTCCTCGAGGTCCCCCCTCAGCTGTAAGAAGTGTCAGGCTGGACTGAAAAAGCAGGTGCTGGATTTATCACCATAATTATCGCTATACTTATCGCCATACTTACCGCCGCCATGGATTTGGCTTGGTCATCTGTGTGCTGCCTGTACTGACCCAGCATCCGATCCACATTGTGGAGATTCCTACTGGTGTCCTTACACAGGAAAGAAGGCAGCGTTACTGATTATACGCAGTAATTTAAATTCACAGTGATATAAAAAGCCACTAAAGTCATTCAAATAATGACAGTATTTCATTTTTTACACAGGCAACTCAAAGTGACACCTGGGCTCTGCAGTCACACCCTTCCTCCAAGGTGCCACTCCTGTCACTCCCAAATCCTAGGCCAAGTTCTTTGGCTCTGTCACATGGCGTCCCTGTCTGATCACCAGGACCTTATACTCACTACACAGATGCTTCTCCAAACCTCACAGCACATCCAAAACCTAATGAGTTACAAAGGGTGAATGCAGTCATACTGTGTTAATTTGACTTCACTTCTCAAGACCCGCCAGCAGGGCGGCAGCATGGCTCCAGACGCAGCCCTGTGTGTGTCACATGCATAGGTTCCCTCCCCTATCCTCCCACTGTCCAAACTAATGTAGTTTGACGAACTGCTGTCCCTAAAGTGCCATTTCTGAATATCCATTTTAACTATCACACCACCTCTGTGACAACCTGCTAAAGGTTGGTTATCCATTATACCACTCACTTAACAATCCAACATCTAAGGGCCCCAGTCTGCACTAGCGCTCCTCACTGACCTGTCAATTTCTCTAACACATATGGGCAGCCATCCACATCAGACAGGAACCTCACCTCTAAAGTGTCGGCCAAGGTGTCAATCTTCCTCGAAATGTCGCCGTCCCCCCTGGGCCTCGTACTCCTGTGCTTGGGACGTCCGTCCCGCCCCCTCGACGGGCCTCCCCGAGAGCCAAGATAAGTGTCCGATTCGCTGGAGGACTCCGCCATGGTCCTGGCGCTGCTGGCATCGGCACGGCTGTCGCAACGTGGTGACTGCAAGCCAACGGGATTTTATCTCAATCGCATCTATGTACCTCGGATATCAGAATGAAAGATGACGTTACACGTTCTAGGAGTCATCACCATGACGAATTCTAACAGATATTTTGATCAAAATTACTTTTTTATATAAAAAAAAAACCGCAACATGCATAGTATTTTTTTCTCAGTCAAATTATTTTGCCACTAACACGTTTGTGAATTTACAGACAGGTTGACGATTCCCTGCACCTTTCACTTACAATGTCACATCCTTAGCGAGCTTGCTGCAAACTGTATAACTACTACATCCGCTAGAAGCCTTATAAACTACCTTACCGTTTACAGTTTCCCTATATATTAATTAAGGGTGACCTAAATGATGTTACTAGAGCACCAGCGACGCAGTGACTCTTACCGTCAAAAATATATATAAACCGCAAACCAACCAGCTGTAATACTACTGCTTTGTATTGTAACTATGATGGGACTTCCTTTTCCCTGCTATGGCAACTTGAACTGGCCGCCCTAAATCAGGAAAACGACAAGGACCCAAGTCTCCACATTAGTCCCTGGGATATGTAGTTTCGTACTGGACATTCCACTGACGCTTTCAAGGGGGTGGTGGATCGTTTAGAACTACAACACCCGCACTCCTCTCTAATAACATGCTCTGTTTTTTTCGTTTTTGAATAAACGATTGAAACGAGACTTTTAAATTTGCCGGATTCGCCACGCGCCAGACCCCCCGCCCAATAAAATATGTGAGCGGTTAAATGGGTTAACGGCACGAAGAAGCACCGTGAAAAACTGTACAGGGCGATTCTCTCTAATGTTAAATAATGTCCGGAACACTGGCTTTCCTTTTTAAAACCTGCGATTTTAGGAATCAGAAAGTGCAGTCTAATTTTATTCCACTCTTCTCCAGATTCCGATGCTACAGTTATCATGATTAACATAACAGTATTGATTCCTGACCTGAAAGTTTCTGATTCAAGGTCTACGGGGGACTATTTCATTGAGGTTAAGCAAGATATTTGAATTACACTAATGAAATGTCCAGATTTTTTGCGTGCACACCAATTTAAGCCCAAATAATACTGTAAGTAGACTCTTAGAGATTTACCAGCTCTGGTCAGCTAGCTGGAGTGAGATTTCCAGTTCGAGACACGTCTGCACACACATTTACATGTATGTAAGAGATGTATCATCTTGTAAATAGTTCGTAGGTTTTGTATACTGTCCCAGCGCTTTTGGTGATTATATTTTATGTTTATAATAGAATAATATAGCGCGAGGGTCTGGAAACGTGAATGTCACGCCATATGCATGAGAGGTGGCAGCCCTGCTCTTATTGCAATGTTATGGTGAGTTGTAAATATTCCGTGCATCCATTTTCCACGACTACTTGTACAAGGACATGGTGAGCTGGTAGTCTGTCCCAAAGTTCACGAGGAACAAATGGGACAGGATGCGTGTCCATCATAGAGTCTTTAAAATATTAGAAAACCAAATACATTACAAATTCTCGTATTAATGTACATTAGGTTATACCCCATACGCCACAACTAAGATTATGCCTTATCGCGGACTGTGAGGTATACAATCAATTTTTTGATAAAAAGATCATTTTAATAATTCAGTATATTTAAGTAGTCATGCTGAGGCACACAGCTAGAAGGAAATATGTAACAATTGAGGATCCAAGTTGTGGAAATAAGTATTTCCGACATATTGGCTGAACGCTCAAATATGCTATTTGTTATGGAAATTTTTAAAACAATGCACATCACATGTATGCTCTTTCTCGATGTTATATGACACAAACGGCTCTGAAATCATGAAATTGAACATTTATATTGTATTGAGGTGTTTGTGCAAGCCATCTGTTTTGGGGTTTGGCTTATGAACGATGAGATTCCAACGCAAAAATGTTAAAAACACCCGCAATGATTTATAGTACCCCAACTAGAGACAGTAAACGTTTTATATAGTTTCACAAAGTCTCTACCTAGAAGTGTCCCACATTGCCTGAATTCACCCTCCAGATGTCATCGGATTTAAAAATAAGGTATTTTAAGTATTTGAAATGTTCTACCCCTAGAGGACATCCCAGATGGTACAGCAAACCTTATTAAATGTTTTTGAATGTGATCTTTGGACGTTTGACATGGTCTGCATTTGTCATCAATGGATCCACTGGTGCAGCGGCCTCTGTTTTGACCAGAGATCACCTTCTGTTTATTCAATAAAGAAACATCATTAGTATAAGTTAAGATTTGAAAATGTTAATACTGCAATCAGCCAATAATTGAAATGCATATTAATGTTCCCCATGAACGTAAAAAATATTTAGTTTGTTACATTGCAACAAAAGTAAAGAATTATGCATTTGTGTTTTCCGGTATTTATCCTCTTTAAATTATTACTGCTGTGTAGTTTCTTTATGTTAATAAATCTATTAATAATTTCTACAAAATAAACTTGTTTGAAACTATGAAAATATAATGCAGCTTTATATTTATTTACGAGATGCATCGGACGTACAGAATAAAAAAATTGGCGTTTTACTATAATCTAATACGTTAACAACTTACATTAATTCATTCATCTTCTATGCATCTTGTCCTATACAAGGTCGCGGGCTTTGAGAACATGAAAAATGAATTGTCATAAGCTGTGATTGCGGCAATGACATTCTATATATAACAAGAACACTTTATCGGGAATTTTCCATTAACAAGGTGCAAAGCACACAAGTGGAAAAAGCGCCATAATTCGTAAAACTGTCAGTTCCAGTCGCTGACACAAGGGAGCCTCAAACCTCAACTTTACGGCTCCTGTACCCAGCCAGACCGCAATGTCTCCCAAATCATCTTACATCCCTCAAGTATAAAGTCGACAGCCAATAAGAGCAAGGTGCGTGTGATTGAACGAATCGCACGGAAAAAAGGACAGAAGTAGTTTGCGTGACAAAAAAGCGCTCCCAGCATCAATTTGCACCAACGACCAGGTGAGGACGAACGACAGACTGGTTCCTGCATCATCCGGAATATTGACACGTAGGAATTTTAATCGCACAGCTGCTGCTTACTCAAATATTTACTGTAATTGCAGTTTGCTTAAATACCACGGGGGGGAAAATTAGCAACATAGCAATGCAATGTATTGCACCTGTGCTTCTTCTCCTTGTCGGGTCCCCAATCGGCGCTTTGGGGCACTTTGAAACTTGTCCCCTCATTTGCGAGTGCTCCGAGTGGAAGAGCCGCACCGTTTCGTGCGTCGACATAGACCTGCTGCCTGCCTTCCCTCTCAGCACCGAGACGCTGTAAGTACCCATCTATACTTACCTATGTAGGCTATTTATTAATTTTGTTATATATTTGCATTTATTGTAACATAATTATATGAAAAATCAGCGTTTAGTGGGATGCCCAACTCTGCTTTTTCTGGCCGAGCAAAATAGTTTATAATTGGTTTTGTGACATATTCATGAATGTAGCCTGGCCACTTTAACGTTAATTAATGTTTTTATTAGAGGAATGTATATAAAGAACTAAACTGGTGAACAAAATAATAATAGTGTTATTATATTTGTTGCTGTTAGCACTACATTATTAAACGTGATCCTCGCCTCTCATCTCCATGTGCCCATGCCAGTTCCTTAAACATGATCACAGAGAAGGTTCATCGCATTGCAGTTTGCAGGTCTTCACAGTTTTCACTTTATGACATGCTGAAATCCCATCAGTCAACATCAGACAATCATTTACTCCGAGTTTCAATCCTTGCAGCATATACATACAACTTGAATATTTTTTTGTTCCCATGTGGATTTATTGTTTATTTGAGGCCTTACCTCTGAAAGACACTGACAGCTGTATTTCCTAAGGGAGTAGAACCTTTACAGGAATTTGATTAAGAAGTTTATCCCAAAATGACCCACCCTGGAGCAGTGCTTTGGGAGTGGAGAGGTCATTGCACTCATTACTCCTCAGGATGATGCCATGCACTCACACACTTCTGGCTGCACTGAGCCATGTGTGTTTTTTAGGCCGCCCGCGTCCCCTCCGTCAGCTTAGCCGTCGAGCAGCCGCAGAGAGTGACCTCTGAGTGCACTTTGGTTGTGACTCTCAACGAAACGTGCGTGGAGGAGCAGTTTGTTACTCATCTCATTTCAAAGGTGTTTTCAGCCAAAGGTAGAAGATAAAAGGGAGCACATGGATTGTTCTAGTTTCTCACGTTATCGTAAAGCAGTTAAATATCTTACATACTTGGAAATGCACAAGTTATTAGGCCCTAATGATCCACTCTCATATCATCTAAGGGCTCTGATGGAGTTAGAGGCCTTGGGTCCGGCTGAAATCAGACTTCTGCATGCACATTTGGTGTTACTCACTAATAACTTTTATATACTTAGTTTAGGCCAAAGGTCAGAAAAAAACAGGAAGACTTTAGCTACACATTTTACTGTTAGCCACAAACTCCATCAATCACATTCTTGTAACCACTAGAGCTTCTGCTGATCAGAGGCAGCAGAAGAGTGTTTTTGTTTGTGTGCAAACTAGGGCTGGGAATACTTATCGATTTTTCGATAATTATTGTTAACACGTGTGAAAGGATAAGTAACAGCCATAAATGGTCTGTGCCTATCTGACAGCTTCAGTCCTGGTTTTATTTCCCGGACATGCCCACTTTGTGAGTACTGCAGTGCGTGAAATACAGTGGTACCTCTGTTCTCGAACTCATTAGAACTCGAATTTCTTAAAAGTTGAACCAACCAGTTCGAAAAAAAATTACCTAGTACTCGATCTGAATCTCAGAAGTCAAACCGTAAACGCCGACCTAAGATAACTTGTACGCGCGGGGAAGTGAGTCACGCGGCACGTCTCTCAGCGGAAACAAAGGGTAACGCTTCAGTCTCAGCCTCGCATTCACTGTGATAGCATCGTGCATTTTTACACTAGCTGAATACATATATTTAGACAGTAAAATACATTTAGACAATGAGACAGTAACAGTAATTATTATATAATAAAATACATTTAAAAATAAAGATTTCTTATTAATTATTTTAATATTAATAATAAACCATTAATACATTTAATTATAATAATATTGTCCTGCCGAGCTGGGACGGAACGGAGAAAAAGGCGCAAACGTCATGGTATCAGGGAATACGGGGTTTAATTACAGGTAAGGCAGGCAAAACGCAGACGGACAATACAATGACTGGACTGGGGAAACAAACTGAAACGTGGACTAAATACAGAGGACTAATGACAACAACCAGAAACAGCTGATTACACAGGGATTACACACGAGCATAACGGGGGGGGGGCGTGGCACACGGAAGGAGTGGCCGAACGGGGCAGGACACATTGTTTTTTTTTGTAACTTTACACATTGTTTGGATACATTTATTTTCTCACTTTACAAATTACTGTTTTAATAAATGTGCTTAGATGTGTTTAGTACAGTATGTGCTCTTCTTGTTTTATCCGGTTCATTTTGTGTTTAAATGCTAAAAAAAAAAAACATATTTAGGTGTAATTTTTTTGGGGCCGGGAACCAATTAATTGGTCTTGCATTATTTCTTATGGGGAAAATTTGATCAGAACTTGAACCTTTTAGGATTCGATCCGGAGTTCTGAATGGATTAAGTTCGAGTTCTGAGGTACCACTGTATTAATGCATACTGGCCATAAAATACCTTCAGAAGTGTGGCAGTATTTGAAGTCTGGGGACCAAAAAAAGCTATTTGAAAACAATGTGAGAATAGTTTTCCCTTTTCAGGCAACAAAACAAACTTAAAGGATCATTTGGGTATTTTGAGGTAAAAGGTCGACCTATGTCAAGCTAAAGACATCACAGAAAAGATTGTTGATATTGCGGTGGATGGCTTGCCAATTAACATTGAGAGAGAGTCATTTAATAAATTAATCACAGCTTTAGCCCCAGGCTGTCAGCTGCTACCCAGAAACACTGAACGATAAGATATGTGAGCGATAAAAGAGACCTAAAAATGCTAAATAAAATATTGAATTGTACAATGGATGTATGGCTTTCATTATTATTATTACAATTAATTATTACATTGTTATAATTAATTAGTCATCCTAAATTTCCTTCAGGATCAATATCTATCTATCTATCTATCTATCTATCTATCTATCTATCTATCTATCACTATTATTATTATTGTTGTTGTTGTTATTGTTATATTATTAATAACATCAGTATCAATAATAATATCAATAGTTAAGCATTAAACAAATTGGTTATCGCCCTATCCCTAGTTCAAAGGTGCCCACCTCAACTTCTGAGGTCTAGTGTTCCTTCTATGATCTGATGAGCAAACTTGAGGAAAGGCAAACCTTTGTGCAGGTCTGGAAGGCGGCCTGGCGACTGAGTCTGAGAGCCGTACTTCAGGCATGAGACGCAGCAGCAAATGCAGATGTAGGCCATCAGCCCATAAGGTTTGTAACTCCAGCGAGAGAGTGACTTTTGTTAAGATTTGGGAATTGGAATCCTCTGGATTGTGCAATACCTGCATAATCAAATTAATTCAGCACCAGTCCTGTTCTTTTGCTTAACCCCTCATTAACCCTGACTGAAGGAGTGAGTTTAACAGAGGATTTCCTTTAATCAGTATCTAATTGTCAGGATGTGGGTTAATTTTCTCTTGCGTTTCAAAAACACATTTGAAAAACATGTACCTCTGAACCACACTGTGGTGTACTGAGCCAAAGGTTATACAGTCAATGAATGGAAATAAAGAATGTAAAATAAAAATTTAAGCTGTCTACAGAAAAATGATTTTAAAGAAATTGAGGCCAAATAGTCATTGAGTCAAATCTGCAACACCAGCAACATCTGTTGCGTCCTCGAGCAATGTGCCTTGAAGTGCTTCTGTAAATATTTTGCTGCAAAAATAGGGAAAATTGAGCTGTAGTAATGAAAAAAGCCATTGCCAGTGAAGTCATCCCAGTGAAGTGTGTGCAGTCCCAACAAAAACATGAAAGCCACTTTCAGTGGTGCGTAACAGCTGAAGAATCACAGAAGATGAAATTAAATGACGATGACGAGAAGAGAACTGATAAGAGACAGGAAGGCTCAAAGAAAGCCGCGGCAGTGACACGGAGACAGACGCTCCCGTCGTGCTGCCTGTCTGCTGTCGTTGGCGAGGATACGATGGCATCGTAGTGGCTGGAACAGAAACAACACAACACACTTTATGCTATCGCTGCTACCAGGAGTGAATGAATATTTACAGTGTGTTGTGATAGCTGAACTTCATACGTTGAATCGTTGCGTCTGTTTGGCTCGGATACAAAGTTCTTCACCTTGAAAGATAAATGCTGCAGAGATTGAGTCGCTTGAAATGGACACCATGTTGTGTGAAGGAGAGCTTGCTAATGTACTGCTTTTCAAAGTGGAACGGTGACCTTTGGAGCCAGTTTACTGAGATCCAGTGGCCAGCTGAGAGTGTCAATGCTGTCAGAAAGGTGGCGGAAGACTTGTGTCTGGTGGGAATCCTCTGCTGGTGCTCAGGGGCTTTTCAGCAAGCCCAGAGTCACCAGTACCCCCCTGGGTCTCGCGCCGCTGGAGTCTCAGCATTCCCCTCCGCCACATTCCACACTATTCCACACTAGTTCTGCGTCCAAAGGGGTCGCTGCCCACCCCCCACCCCCCCAACAAATTCATACCCATCACATGCAATTACATCCAATCAGTGCACCGAAACGACTCCCAGGAATGACGGCGCCATAGCCGCGGGAAATGCTCATTCATCCCGGCATGAGAACCGGAGCAGAGGAGAAAAAAAAACGTGGTGGATAAAAATATCCTGAAAACATGGGGTCTGAAAATAGAAGTCCGGACTGGCTGTGCCCGCGTGGACCCCCCCCCTGGCACACTGCGGGTCCATTAAGCCCCGGCTGAGCGGATATAATGGTGGCTAAATCCACAACACAAACATGCTAGTCTCCCACGGCTGTAGTGAATCCTCAGCCCCAAAGCTGCTGTTCCACTCTGGCTTTGGCAGAAGGGAATACAGATACCTACTCTGAGAGGCTGGTATTATCTGCAGCGTTCCCTTTGACCCATCCCTGAGCTAGACTGCCTGACAGGATAATGTGACAGCTGAACTAGCTTTGCGAAGAACAGAGATCATTGGGCCGAGTGTGTTTGAACGCGCACGGGTGTGAGGGAGTTTCTGTGTGTGTGCTGGTGTGTGCATGGACTGGCCGCTGTTTTCTCAGGCAGGCTGAGGCTCTCAAGGGGTGGAGCGGTAAAAGAAAGCAAAAACGCTCTTTATATGCCCTGGCGGTATGACTGCTAGCTCCCTCTGAACCGGGGGGGGGAGGGGGGGTTGGGAATCTCAAATACAATATTTACATTTTACTGCACGGCTCAGAAATGGAAGCCTGCTGCGTTTCGTTGGAGGAGCCCCAGTGCAGGAAGTGGATGGGGAGTGTGTGATCCAGCTGTAATAAGGCCCATCAACAGCCTTTGATTAAGGCTGACATTTCCAGTGCCATGAAACTATCCACAACAAGGTTCATACCCAAACTCCATGCGATCTGTGATTACAGTTAAAATCTCTCCGCTATCCAGTGTCTAAACATATTATCTTTGATTACCAAAAAAGATTAGCATGTTTAAAAAGGTGGACATTGAAAGAGATTTTTTAAGCTGTGGTTGTTACTGGAAGAAATCGCATGACAACAAAACAGTATGATTGCATTTGTATTCCTGTGATTGTTTTTTAGCAGAATTTAGGAATGAGAAAGTCAGCTTTTAAAAGCCGTAGGCAGTTTTCTGGCAGCTGTAAATAACCAGAAGGCCAGTAGTGCTAAACCATTTGGCCAGAATGTACTAAAACAAGGAAAACATGGTAAAACTTGAGCTGCCCTTTAATTAAAGGCCTGTTATGAGAAAACTGTGGTTGTGAACAGGCCATGTGCCACGTGAGATCACTGTGTAACTGTTTGCCCTGTGAGGCTGTCACAGTGTGATCTGAAGTGGAAGTCACTGAAGGTATGATTTCTGACCCCTTCAATTTATCAGTATATCTACATTAATGGAAATAATATATTAACAAGAATAAGAATGATAAATTCCCCATGACCATGCACTGGATAAGCAGTTGGGAATAGTTAGATAGATGGATGGATGGAGGAACAGATGGATCATTAGAATGGAATCTGTCCATCAAATGATATATGCCTTTGTATATATATATATATACACTCACCTAAAGGATTATTAGGAACACCTGTTCAATTTCTCATTAATGCAATTATCTAATCCACCAATCACATGGCAGTTGCTTCAATGCATTTAGGGGTGTGGTCCTGGTCAAGACAATCTCCTGAACTCCAAACTGAATGTCAGAATGGGAAAGAAAGGTGATTTAAGCAATTTTGAGCGTGGCATGGTTGTTGGTGCCAGACGGGCCAGTCTGAGTATTTCACAATCTGCTCAGTTACTGGGATTTTCACGCACAACCATTTCTAGGGTTTACAAAGAATGGTGTGCAAAGGGAAAAACATCCAGTATGCGACAGTCCTGTGGGCGAAAATGCCTTGTTGATGCTAGAGGTCAGAGGAGAATGGGCCGACTGATTCAAGCTGATAGAAGAGCAACTTTGACTGAAATAACCACTCGTTACAACCGAGGTATGCAGCAAAGCATTTGTGAAGCCACAACACGCACAACCTTGAGGCGGATGGGCAACAACAGCAGAAGACCCCACCGGGTACCACTCATCTCCACTACAAATAGGAAAAAGAGGCTACAATTTGCACGAGCTCACCAAAATTGGACAGTTGAAGACTGGAAAAATGTTGCCTGGTCTGATGAGTCTCGATTTCTGTTGAGACATTCAAATGGTAGAGTCAGAATTTGGCGTAAACAGAATGAGAACATGGATCCATCATGCCTTGTTACCACTGTGCAGGCTGGTGGTGGTGGTGTAATGGTGTGGGGGATGTTTTCTTGGCACACTTTAGGCCCCTTAGTGCCAATTGGGCATCGTTTAAATGCCACGGCCTACCTGAGCATTGTTTCTGACCATGTCCATCCCTTTATGACCACCATGTACCCATCCTCTGATGGCTACTTCCAGCAGGATAATGCACCATGTCACAAAGCTCAAATCATTTCAAATTGGTTTCTTGAACATGACAATGAGTTCACTGTACTAAAATGGCCCCCACAGTCACCAGATCTCAACCCAATAGAGCATCTTTGGGATGTGGTGGAACGGGATCTTCGTGCCCTGGATGTGCATCCCACAAATCTCCATCAACTGCAAGATGCTATCCTATCAATATGGGCCAACATTTCTAAAGAATGCTTTCAGCACCTTGTTGAATCAATGCCACGTAGAATTAAGGCAGTTCTGAAGGCGAAAGGGGGTCAAACACCGTATTAGTATGGTGTTCCTAATAATCCTTTAGATGAGTGTACTGTATATAAGTGTGTGTGTATGTGGACTGGGGGTTATCGCTGAATATTCAGGCGTTTTAGAGCCTTCTTGGTCATAAACTTTGAGTTCTAAATTGAAGGAGACTCTCTGGCTTCTGCAGGACGTGCAGCTTCTGCGTCGAGCGGCCGGCCAGGGTCTGCTCAGTGTCTACGTGTTTGTTTCCATTTCTCAAAAACGTGCCTCATTCTCAGCTCTTCAGAGGAAGCCCCCGCTCCTCTCTGAATTGGCCCATTGTTTCAGTGAGCTATTGCCTCCCCCCCCCCCCCCCACCTCCGACATCACCCCAAAATCTGCTGGTCAAATAATATTAAGAATAATACCAGCATGCTATACATTACAAAGGGCTAGGTTAAGAATCACCAGCCCCTGCTGTTAATACAGTTTCCTGGCAGGCGTAATGTAATTCACACACACTTGAAAGTGATCATTCCCGTCTGGATGTAAACACATGTTATCCTCATATAAAATCAACCTTAGGGGATATTTCATGTCTGAAACCCACTGGTACCAGTTTATAACCGTAGTGTGGATAGGATCTCCTCAGGCCTCTCAGCACGGCTTCTTTGGTGTTCTGTGATTCCTCATGTGACTCGGCCCAGCTGTGAACGCCACAATAACAGTCCTGTAAGAGGCAGAAATCAGTGTTTGTGGATTGTGTTTACAAATATATGACTTATTTACCGTCACCTATTGCAGAGCAGTGTCAAGATCAATACCCATCTATCTATCTATCTATCTATCTATCTATCTATCTATCTATCTATCTATCTATATACAGTATATATATTATTGATGCATTAACTGGATCTCTATCCCTTATAAAAACATAGTCTGTGAGACTGATTTACCAGTCCTGGACTGTGTGCCATCTTATACAACTGACCCAGTCTGCTTTTTTCCTGTTCCAGAGAAGGGCCATATCCTGTTTGTTTTGGCCCTTGCTTTAGGTCCAATCAGACCCAGTATTCATTTTCAGTTTTTTTTCCCCTGAATGTTACTATGACATGGTTTACACCGTGCACATCAAAGGAAACGCTTAGTCTACACATTGGAGAAGAAAGGAAAGAAACCGAGGCTTTGTCTAAAAAAGCCATAACAAGAACCAGGCATTGTATCACTGCATGGCATTATGGGAGCGGCAGAAGGGGGTGAGGGAGGGGTACATATGCCCGATGATAAATAATCATAACTGGGCTTTCAGCTCTGTCTCTAAAACTCCAGTTATTCCCTTCCTCATCTGTGTCTTGCCATTTTCTACTTCCTTTGCTGCTGTTCATTATGCTGGTCTGTTTCCAAAGAACATCTATAGAGCATATTGGTTAAACTTTGAATTAACAATTTTAGCTATTGCAAGAGCAATTTTTCCGTGTCATAGTTCAGTATTTCCTAATGAATCATTATTTATTCAGACGATAAATATTATTATATTGAGCTTTATTTTTCTTGTACTCATGTATGCGTGAATAAAAATTTGTTTTAATTTTGAATCAAGTTTCTTTTTTTTAGTTATGTAACTCTAGAATAGTGTGAAACTTCATGATGATATTTTGTTTTTTTTTTTTCTTTTTAGCTGTTTTTTTAATTTTGATAGTGTCTCAGTGCCCAAAGTAACTGTTTATCATCTTATAAGGTATATCGACAATATAATCAAACTGCATAAGAATAATTCAAATTGAGTGCAGTTCTTGTGTTTTCTTTCAGCCAGCATTGATGTGACATTTTGGTTTCTATGAAAGTTAAATTACTGCCTGATTCTATTTTTCGCTAGCCTTTTTTACAGCCTTCTGCCTGAAAGTACTTAAAGGGGTAAGAAAAATTGCCAAAAAACTACACCACAGCAGCAAATGAGCAGTGCAGTCACATCACACCAGGACACACTGTAGAAATGATAATCACGAGGACAGACAGCATTATGTACCAAAGGTGGAAGTTCTCTGAACGACCGAATATTTTCTAAACCAAAGCAGCACAAATCTGTGACTGTCCCACGGTGAATTTCCCCCTCAGACCCAGCCCATCATTCTTACAAGGTTTATTTCTTTAACAGTTGGCTGTTGGAGACGAGGTTGACTTCCCTGAAAGAAGATGCCTTTGCAAACCTAGTCAACATTTCCCGCATGTGAGTAAACATTTTCCCTACCAAGTGGGGCTAGTTTCTATGCTGATTGCTATGTTAAATTCCAACTGGAACAATTGGTGTTGCGCATACACTAGTGGGCAAAAGCGTGGAAACACCTAGCGATTTTGGCGTTACACTTAGAAAATTGCAGCACAAATATTGCTGGTAATGTTTATAAACATTCACCATACAAGGGACTGTACAGTCAGATTCCTCACAAACCTTCCCAACTAATAATAACATGGGTCCTTTCAGCCCAACCATAGAGTCCCAAATGCAGAGAAAGGCAAAAAAAACTGGAGCAACCGTCACCTGAGGTGGACATATGGGGAAACAGAGAGGGGTTTCGCAGAAACGTCCTAAATAGCCTAAGGCACTCAGCATGAGGGCCATCGCAAAAGACCCAGTTATACAAACAGTTATTAATGCAGAGAGCTGTGACCTACATCCCTTTCATACCGAAACTTAACTTACTAGAACACAGGTGTCAGACTCCAGTCCTGGGGGGCCGGAGCCCTGCACATTTTTGGGTTTCCCCTCGTTTATTACACCTGATTCAATTTCTTGTGCTAATTACCACATAGCTGTTGAGCTGAATCATTTGTGGTGGAACAGGGAAAGAACTAAGCTACACAGGGCTCCGGCCCCCCAGGACTGCAGTTTGACACCCCTGTACTAGAATGTCATTCATCTTCCAGTGAACTTCACTGTAAATGTAAACATTGTGCAGTAAATTAAAAACTATGTGCAAAGGATTGAGTATAGAACCTCATCTACTTAAATTTGGAAATGACTAAGTTTAGTGTTACAGTTAATTGATTATTTAAATGTTTTATTTCATTTATTAATAATCAGTTGTAATGAGCTTCTGTTTGCTCACCAAAGTGTCTTCATCTCAGGATTTAAAATAAAAACTGAATAAATTAAAACAATAGTATATATGTGTTCGGCCTGAAGTGAAAGTAATTACAGAAAACTTAACTAAGCTGCTAATCATTCTCCATCACCATAAGTGCAACATAAAACACAACAACACACAAGACAGATCACAATAATAATGGGATCTTAACAAATTATGAGTTGCTGCACAATGAATACTAAACTGTAGAACCATCTTAATTGCTTATTCCTCATTAAAAATGTTAAAGGTATTTACAAAATGCAATTTCTAGTTTGGTTAGTAACATTAGCCAGAGTAAGTGGCTAGACAATGGGTGGATGGATGGATATATAGTTTTCCATGCTAAAACTACCCCCAAGCTTTGAAAGCGTTCATTACCAGCCCTACTGTCTTAATGAATAGATTTCAGTAGCTAAATGTGCTAGATAGCCAAAATTCACACTCCACACACACTTTTGTGAAAAAGAGAATAACAAATAATGCAAATTTGTCGTTGCATGCACTTTGTAATCAGCCCAGCTTCGGGGCCACAGACAATCGGCTGCCTCTCCTCTCCTGTCCCTATGCCTCTGACCACACGTCCAGCTGCACGGTTCAGCGGGAGGCCTGTTACCATCAGTGACCCCCCCACAGCCAGCCAGCTGCAGGAGGACCTGTAAAATCCAGCAAACAGAACGTTTGCCTGCTGGGGCTGACGGCGGGGGCCAAGGCAGTCAGAGGGGCTACTGGTTTCCATTTAACCTCAGCAGTCTGTGGCGTGATCGAGTACCTGAGCTGGAGGGAAGCCGTGGCTGAGGGGAAGGCGTCTGCAGAACTAACAATGCTACTGTGTCAGGGGATGTTTAATTGCCAGTGGGAAAATATGGATGGCTTTCATACACACTTGCATTTATAATAATAAACCATTCCAATAAGAAGTACATATATAGAAATGATTTTTCATGGTACAGCTATTCAGAGAATAATTATTTTATGAATTTAAGTTATTTTACCAAAATAAATTAGTAAACAATTCATCCAAAAGAAAAAAAAATCAATGCTTGTTAAATTTGCTATCCAGGCTGTCAAAAAAGTTATATATTCATATTTTGCTTGTAGGCATTGAAATTTGAATTGAATGAGAGTGACAGTGTGAAAATGTGAAATTTCACACATGACATGAGTGACATTTTCTCAGAGTTACAGGGCAGAAGCCCATTGGACTATAAGTGCAAGCTTTAGGTTTTGCAGCTGTGGTGACACTTTGTCTCCCTCAGATACATGTCGGTGGACGTGACTCTGGAGAGGCTGGAGAAACATTCCTTCTACAACCTGAAGAAAGTCACACACATGTGAGTATAAGGGGCAGCAGCTCAAATTACCGGGGAGGATTGTGGGTACTCAGGCAAAGCAGAGAGGAGAGCAGACGAAATTTGGTACTTTTATGGAAGGATAATTTAATTATGAGTCATTCGACTGCAATTTTGTTTTTTATTTTCTAATTTACTGTGAAACTGGGTTTTTTCTTTGGCTAATGAAATATGGATCTATCATTAATGAAATATTAAGTATTAAGCAATGAGATCCTAAGGAGAGTTGATGGGTTTCCAGGTTTACAGAGTCATGAGCTGTGATTCAATGCAAACAGCCGCTGTTGGCAGAGACGCTCACCCATTAAAATGACCCATATCGGGCTGCGGGCTCGTGTCATTTCAGGACGGCAGTCGGCACATTATTTAAGCATCACAAATATAGTTCTGTCTCCATCATTACCATTAGAGAAAGAAAAACAAGCGTCGGCCAGGGTTTAACATCTTTTGGGGCAGGACACGTGTGGCGAAAAATCACCTCGCTGCAATAACATCTCCGAGCTGGACGAGGATCTGCATAGCGGGCCGGCAGGAAGCACGACGATTAAGGAGCTGGAGCCGCGACAGGAGCTTTCCAGCCCAGTCGATTCCCAGGAAAGACAGGCCTGCTGTTTTACTTTTGAGCAAAGTCCTCAGCCTGAAGCACCTCAGTTTAAAGTATCCGCCTGTCTGAACGTGTACGGACCTTTGGGAGTTCCACCGGAACCTGTGGGAGGTGTTAGTAGAAAGTTAGGGCTCCTTAAACGAGGCTGCAGGAAACACCGCTGATGAAACACTTCATAACTTAGGATCTTTTGTTGGAGAATGGAGGTAAACGGGCCTGCCCTCAGCCCTAGTATGTTCTAATTTTGTACGACTGGAACGACATGTAGCTTGAGAAGCTCGTTTCCGGACATGTGATTGGCTTGTGGTGTAGGGCTTTTTCCCTGAGCTTTGATTGGCTCCTCTGGGTTTCCGGCATCTATGAGAAATAAAGGTGGAAGATGTTTGGGTTGGAACCCCTGCACCCATTTGGCACAGACTGTGTGCCATACCTCAAATTATGCTGTCCCTCTCAGGTTTCTCTCATGAGTAGGAAATTAATATTAAGCTTCCCGTCAGCTGTCAATGTTTCATGGCTGTTGTCAAGGTAACGCTGGGGATGCTGCCACATATATATGTAACACAGTGGGGATCTCCCACCAGGACTGCCAGGTGCACATGTGATTCTCCAGGTGGGTTAGGCTGGCAGTTACCAACTTGTCCATCTTCTTGATCAACCTAAACATTGCTATTAATTAATGCATACATTTAATGTTGAATGTCTGACTTCACCTGAAAATAAGCTATCAAAATAATGCTGATTAAAAATGACAACAAAAGAAAAATAGATAGTTTCACATAGTACGCAAACGTTACCTGCTGCGTTAAAACGTTGCACCGTTTCAGTCACATGACAGCATTACCTATCACATCATGTGCCTGTTTTTCAGAGAAATCCGGAATGCTAGGAGTCTGACATACGTTGACCCAGAAGCGTTTAAGAGCCTGCCCAGTTTGGAGTACTTGTGAGTACTTTCAGTCTGTTGTGAGTACTGTCAGTCTCTACATTACTCCAGCTTAAATAAGACATTAACAAACTGATAGTGACAGCCTTTCTGACGAGTGTCACCAAGGAGTTTCTCGCAGGAGGGAAAACTGTCCTCTTGGGTATTGTGGTGGTTTGATTGGGTATTGTGGTGGTTTGATTGGGTATTGTGGTGGTTTGGTGGTTACAGTTGAATGTATGAATGAAAAGCAGATGCACATGCACACATGCACTCTGTAAAAACACACTTCTCCAAAAACGGCACACCGTCGACACTAGTGACCCACTCCCCAGTTGCCCATCTACTTTCTGAGCTCTCAAGGTCGGCGTCTTTATTTCACCACAGGGGGATTTTCAACACGGGTCTCACCACCATCCCCGACCTGAGCAAGATCCACACGAACGACAGGAACTTCATACTGTAAGTGAGCCGTAAGCCTGATCCATTCCTGCTGCCCGCCCCCCTGCTCGCCCGGAGGCACAGCTACGGGGTATCCACCAAATTCCCCATTTTTGTTTTTGACAGTGAAATTGCTGATAATCCCTACATGACAGAGATACCGGCTAATGCGTTCCAGGGAATCACCGGCGACGTGCTGACGGTGTAAGTGCGCGTGCGAGCACCTTCAAAACAACGGCATGATGAAATAAGGAGCACATTGCTGCCCCCTGCCTGTCAGGAGTGTCACTCCAGGGCACACCACCCACCCTCCCTCCCTCTAATTTATTTAGTCTTCGCAATTTATTTATGACTTAACCTGTAGCCGATAGACTGTTAGACAGAGCATAGCGTGGTGGAAGTTTTGGTGTGCCCGTGTTTTTTTGTAGTGTGCGTGGCTAACAGGCTGGTCCAGACGTGGCTTCATCTGTATAATATGACACCTTTGAAATGTTTCTCTGAGACATTCCCGGTATCCACAGCAGTTGTGAATTACCGGTCGGCTGGCCTGACAGCACTGATACCGTCGATAGCGTGGCTCTCAGCAGAGGCGCTCCTGCCAGCGCCCGGCCCACATGAGTTTCCTTGTTTTGAAACGCAGAGAGCTCAGTTAAGCCTGCGGTCTGGCCATAGAGCCAAGTGCGCAGTGCAGATTCAGACGGGGTGCAGACCCAGCCGGGCTGCCCATGCTCCATGGAAACTTACTGTCTGTTTACATCTGCAGGATGCTCTACAACAATGGCTTCACCGAGGTCCAGAGACATGCCTTCAACGGGACCAAGCTGGATGCTGTGTGAGGCTATATTGTATCCATAGAAACCACTATGATAGGCAGCTTATATTCACAGACACAGACACACACACGCACAGGTTTGTAATTATACCTTTGTGGGGACTCTCCGTTCATTACTATAGAGAAACGCTAATCCCAACATGACGACCTTAACACCTACCCGGCCCTAACCTTAACTATAAGTAACCAAAGAAAATACAAGTCTTTTGGCATTTTTAGTTTTTGTGATTGCATTCACAGATCTTTGTGAGGACCTGAAAAATGGTCCCCACAATGTCAAAATAATAGGTTTTTATCACATTGTGGGGGACATTTGGTCCCCACAATGTAATATAAACCTAATCCATATTCACACACAAAAAATGCAAAGACCACAAAATACGGAGAGCAACTGATTTGTGAGGGTGATGCCATGTAATTAATAACACATTTATTTATTACCATTTTACTGTGGTTGTAGGGTTGTTTAGACTGATGTGAGACTTGCTTCATAATATGACTACCAAGCACAAATAAACAATGGTACTGCTTTTATTTTTCAAAAAATAAAAATAATATACAGCATGTATTTCTTTATTGAATTTGATATACAATACTCCAATAGAACCCCGTAGCCAAATGTCATTCTGGATTTGTGGCGTGCAGAGTTCTCATGGGAAACGCGAGCTCTGGGAACTCGGACGTTCCCTACACCGTCTCCGTTCCCGTCCTTCATTTTTCCTTGTGTCCTGTCAGGATATGAAACGCTGCCACGCCTGTCAACTGACCCCGCAGCCCTATCGGTGATATTTAGGTGACATAATGGTCACTTGAAATATGGCTGGTGGTCGATGTTGTAAGCTTTAGCACACTGGAGTTTGTCTTGGCGTGGAGAGCGCTCGGCCTTGATCCCCAAGCAATAAAACCAAGACAAACACCAGGGCCATCAGCATAATTAGATTAAGGATGTTTATAGTGTGTATTTTAAAGAGACAGGACCCTGAGCACCCTTCTCAGATGGAAGGTTCTGGACTACACCAAAAAGACCTGGTATCAACACCGGCAGCTAAAATTAGGAAGTGATTTAGTTAGTGTCCTTTATTCACAAAACAAAGCAGTCAAACTCCTTGAGGAATACTCACCCCCCCCCCATGCTCTCTCCTTCTGGCAGGTACCTTCACAGGAACAGGGACTTGAGTCGGATAGATGAGAGAGCATTTGCTGGTGTCCTCAGTGGTCCACTGCTTCTGTGAGTGCTGCATTTTGGGGGCTGATGCTGCTGGGACAGTGCCTCCTCCCACTATTTATCACTAAAATATACAACTGAGACTGAACTGAGCCCCCGGAGTCTGCATACCTGTTTCCTATATCACTTTCATGCATGTATGACACACAATGCATGTGTGTAATGTATGCAATAACAGCTTATGTTATTAATTTTGAGTATGTAAATTTTCTTTTTTCTTTTTCCTGGTGAGCATATTTGGAACCATCCAGATCTTCCTGTTTTTCATTTTATCTTAAAAGTGATATTATTTAAACATCATCTCAAAAGGATACTTATCATAATACTTTCTGGAGGAACGGTCGTCGGGAGTCAACATTTCCCGGACGACACTTAACGATAATAAAAGCAAACCTTGGAGCTTATAGTATTTTGGAAAGCGAGCGAAGAAACAGCACATGACAAGCACGAACCCCTAGTTCCTCTAACAGCGAGTTGGATGTGTCCTTCTCGAGCAGCACATTGTATTTCGCCTTGTCTGCACTGACCCGAAAACCACCTATTGTCAATTATGAATCCTTTTTTTCCCTCTTTGTTTGGAAATGTGGAAATTTCCTTCTCTCCCTCTTAAAGGGGATAAAGGCTGAAACCTTAGCCCCGTCTATCAGCCCTGGAACGTGCGTCTGGTTAAATCATAGGCCCGTAATAGCTTCATTATTGAATGCTCTCTTACCCCTTCACGGTCAAACACAGGCGAGTGAAGTCACTGCGCTGAGGTCATTGGCTAAAAATCTCCTAATTACAAAATCAGAAGTGTGCAAGATGTTTTTCTGCCACCAATTGTGCAATTTTCCCAGAGGGGAGCGAATCGGAGAAGGGACTTCATTGGAGGAGCCTTACGGACTCGTCTGTGGGCCGGACTCACAAAAAAGCGCTTAGCGGACAGTCCCACACTTCCTGTGCACCTCTTAGTGTGCGATTACGTTATACGTGTGTCCCCTGTGATTGGCTGGCCTCATGTCCAGGGTGTCTCCCTGTGATTGGCTGGCCTCATGTCCAGGGTGTCTCCCTGTGATTGGCTGGCCTCATGTCCAGGGTGTCTCCCTGTATTTGCTGGCTCCATGTCGCCCTGGAACAGATAAGCCATTGAAAAATAGATGTGCAACAAGTTAAAGATATTAAACTGTGTTTGACCTGAGCCTGTCATTGTAGTTGGGCAAAAAAAAAAAACAATTTGACCACCAAAGATTAAAGAAGCATTTTTGGAATTGATCCTCTGGCTAATTAGCACCTTGTATCTTTGGTTCTTTGAAAGTTGTATGCTTGTCATTATCTTCCTCACATGTTTTCTGCTTCAGACAAAAGTGTCTACCAGAAAATACAGTACTGTGCAAAAGTCTTAGGCAGGCAAAGAAAATGATGTTTAGATTTTCCTCGTGTTAAAACTATGATATTATGCCTGTCAAAGCGTGTCAGCTTAGCTATTTCAGAACCTCTGCTAAAATCATCCCAGTATTTGCAGCGACCGTCCAGTGCAGCCATGTATTTTTTGACTTGGCCACTAGTCCACCTCATACAGCTAGTCAATCTGTCACTGACTTTTTAAACCAATTCCTTTAATTATTTAATTGAGCTGTTCGTGAAATTTAACAAAATCATGGAACGGCTGAGGTGCCCCTGAGGAGAAGTTTGGGAACTGAAGCGGTGTTCATCTAGCCATCCAACTAGATATCAGTAACTTTTTAGAAAATAGAAGAAATAATTATTAATTTTTATTGTGTTACTCTTAATTTGCACATGTTCTAATGTTAAATTGTGTTTTTTTGTTCTATGCCAAAGTACACTTGCTACCCAGATAAACAGCTTTAAACATTTCTTTGGACTGCCTAAGACTTTTGCACAGTACTGTACATAAAAATGTTTCCCAACCCAGTTCTCAAGAAGCCACAGAGGGTCCATGCTCCCTCCCAGCTCCCAGAAGAGCACAAACATGGACAGTCTGTGGGTGACTGAGGACATTGATGTAGCCCAAATGTACCTGCCACGTCTGGTGGTGAACAGACAGCTGAAAGTGAGGCGTATTTATCGCTGATTTACTGTCATGAGTATCTGGTGTCACTCTTGTTTGGACAGTGACGTCTCCCAGACGTGCGTGGCCTCCCTGCCGGCGAAGGGCCTCGAGTCCTTGCGGGAGCTCATGGCCCGGGACACCTGGACCCTGAAGAAGCTGCCTCCCATCAGGACCTTCCAGCACCTGACCAACGCTGAGCTGACCTACCCCAGCCACTGCTGTGGCCTCAAGGGCCTCAAGAAGCGCAAGGGGTTCGTGTTGGGGCCTAGGGCCCCACGCGGCCTCAGTCCCCCCCCCCCCCCCCCCCCCCACCCCGCTCATTTGTACTTCATCACAGACCTCAGAATGTTAGACTCTCCATCTGCTCAAACACTTACTCTCCAATCCAGCTGTTAGCCACTGCTGAACAAAAATAAAAATGTTGACCCTTCAGCTGACCAGTAACACATTTGGTATAATTTCCATTCTCTTCCCAGAGTTACTGCTGTCCCACTGGATGCTGTTACATAATGTACTCCCTTTAAACTTCCCAATCTGCTGTATAACGTAGCATGTTAGCTTTTTTGTCAGCACGTATTGGCAGGAAGACTGATCCCTTTTCAATCCGGTTCACCCTACAGATTCCTGGAGTACATCATTTGCAACTTGACCGCTTTCTACGACCAGCACCGCAAGCGGTCGGTGAGCACGTTGCAGGTCCCCGCGCAGAACGGCGACGGTGAGGTGAACGCACTCAGCGAGGAGGCCCACTTCTGGGGGAACCACGGGCATTATGAGCTTGGAGGGAACCTCCACCACCATGCCTACTATGGCGTGCAGGCCGACAGCGATGTGGGCTTTGGTGAGACGCTGAAGAACCCGCAGGAGGACAGCGGGCAGGACTTTGACAGCCGTTACGACTACATTGTCTGCGAGGATGGCGGGGAGATCGCCTGTGCCCCCATTCCAGACGACTTCAACCCCTGCGAGGACATCATGGGCTCGAGCTTCCTGCGGGTCACCGTGTGGTTCGTGAGCCTGCTGGCCATACTGGGAAACCTGCTGGTACTGCTAGTGCTGCTGACCAGCCACTACAAGCTGTCCGTGCCTCGCTTCCTCATGTGCAACCTGGCGCTTGCCGACCTCCTCATGGGCATCTACCTTCTGCTCATTGCCTCCGTGGACCTCCACACACGTGCCGAGTACTACAACCATGCCATCGACTGGCAGACGGGTCCTGGATGCGGCCTGGCCGGCTTCTTCACTGTATTCGCCAGCGAGCTGTCGGTATACACTCTGACAGCCATCACGCTGGAGCGCTGGCACACCATCGTCTTCGCCATGCGGCTGGACCGCAAGCCGCGCCTCTCCCACGCCGTCGCCGCCATGCTGGCCGGCTGGCTCTTCTGCCTGTTGCTGGCGCTGCTCCCCCTGGTGGGCATCAGCAGCTACAGCAAAGTCAGCATCTGCCTGCCCATGGACGTCCACTCAGGAGGGGCACGGGCCTACGTGGTCTCCGTCCTGGTCCTCAACATCGTAGCCTTCGCCATTGTCTGCATCTGCTACGCCAGGATCTACTTGGCTGTGCGGCGCCCGGAATGCCGGCCTGGCAGCAAGGACACCAACATCGCCAAACGCATGGCCATCCTCATCTTCACCGACTTCCTGTGTATGGCACCCATCTCCTTCTACGCCATGTCAGCTGTGTTGGACCGGCCGCTTATCACCGTCTCCGACTCCAAGTTCCTGCTGGTGCTCTTCTACCCGCTCAACTCGTGCGCTAACCCCTTCCTGTACGCCATCTTCACCAAGGCCTTCCGCGGTGACGTCTTCATCCTACTCAGCAAGGTGGGCCTCTGCCGCCATCGGGCCCGGCGATTTCGGGGCCAGGCCGTGTCCCGCAAGGGCGGAGCTCCAAGTCAGGGGACACAGGAAACAAGGAGGAAGGGTGCTAGTGAAATGTGGCTCTGCCTGCAGCAGCGGCCTGGCCGGCAAGACCCTGATACCTGCTTGGCTCCGCTGGGGTAGGAAGCCACGAGCAGCCGCCAGACACATTCCTGCTTCCCCAATTCTACATCTTTCTGTAACCCAGACTGACACTACGGCAACGCAAGTGCCAGGAGGTTTGTGCGCTTTATTCTTTGAGGCGTGGTAACCACTTCACTCCACTGGAGTGTGTCCTGCCAGCTGCAGTGACACTGCCTTCTTTTGAACTGCTCGGCAGTGAAGCGTCTATGATGGTTTTATTATTATGTTTGTATACAGTGCAATCACCTCAATAAAAACATGTATAATTGAGAGCCAGAATTGTACTCTGGAGTACAGGGCTGCGTTCATGACAGAGCTTACAAATGGTTTGCTGTGACTTTTTAGATGTTTCCGTGAGATGAAATCAATCTGACCACAGGGCTTGTAATGTCGTTTTATTGAGACATTGTCTGAAACATTATTCATGTAAACTGCCCTTCTGCCTGCCAGAGTGAAGCCACTGCCAGACATGTTCCGGTAATTGATCAATTAGCACTTTGAAGTTGTCTTAGAGGGTTTTTATCGAGCCACCAGTGACAAAGCATGGAGACACACTTCAGTGATGTGTGAAAACCTGGAGAAAGTGCTGATAAAGCCATTATTTTACTGCATGACTAGTACAGTTACCAGTGTCCAAGTCATTTGGTATGAAACTGACAATGGTTTGGGGGATATTCCTGCTATGCGCTTCTTTGTAATGCTTAGAAAGTGAACGCAATTTTTTTATTATTCTGTTAAACTACTTCTAGAATTATACTAGACTGCCAGAAATATACTCTGCTCAAGCCCAATCACTTAAAGTCTTATAATTAGAGACGCTTTTTCACGAAAGGGCAGGAAAATGTTTTCCCTCTGTTAAGTACATTAACACAGCATTGCAAAGATCTCAATGCATGAAAAGATCACAGTATGCGTTTATAAAAATGTTTTTGTCCCTTATTCTACTATGTTCAAGTTTATTATTTAATTCATTACGTATATGACAAATGAGAAAGCACTTCATTCACCACTTCTTTTTCCAAATCTCCATGTTAGTACAAAAATTAGCTTTTTTTTAACTGCATTGAACGAAATATGCTGAGTGACTGAGCAAACTATTTTGAATGGCAATACATAATGTGCATGCTCTATAACATTTTGTGAACTCATTTTTACCTTTTGAGAAGTAGGAAGATGAGTGACAGTAAAACAACATCTGTAATAACATTTATCCAGGTGAAAAAAACATTCTCCTTAATAACCTTAATGGACTAATAGCCAAAAAGAAACCAGGTTAAGCAGAGAACTGGACCTTGGGGAGCAGCCTCTGGAACACAGTAAGGCCATTTCGTCTGTCCCCATATGGTTCCTCTTCTCTCCCCTATCCCATTTCCTAATCCGATTGACGAATTCCACCACGTCACACAGCCTCTTGTTTCTACCTCATTTATAAGTTTAGCTTCCAAAGTGCTCTCGTATGACTGGTTTTCCCAGGGCGTGCCTCATGATCAGACATACTCCACGCCGTTGGTCAGTGTACTCAGGGCGTGCCCCATGATCAGACATACTCCACACCGTTGGTCAGTGTACTCAGGGCGTGCCCCATGATCAGACATACTCCACA